ACTGTCCGTAGTGTATGAGTGTGTGTGTGGATGTTTCCCAGAGATGGGTTGCGGCTAGAAGGGGGTCTGCTGTGTAAAAACTTGCTGGATAAGTTGGCGGTTCATTCCGCTGTGGCGTCCCCGGATTAATAAAGGGACTAAGCTGACAAGAAAATGAATGAAGAAACAATAATGTTTAAGGCTCTACGTAGATTTTCATTATATGACACTTTTATACAACTGACAGAAATATGGAGTGATGCAAGCTAATAACATTTATTAGAAACATCACCATTTTGAATGGAAATGTAACATTATTGTTAACTGAATGCAAACTGTTTTACATTTTCAATAAATAAGGCACTACCTATAGTTCTACTTATTGTCCTGAAGGAACTGCTTCTGGACACAGCATCATTGGCATGGCATGTCTTTGTTCACAAGGGAGGAGTTGAAATAGCTAATAATAGGGTAAATGTCATCGTCTGATTGTAAAAGCTTTAGGAGGTATTGAACCTTAAGGTCATGGAAGCACATTTGCCATTGATTTAGATGTGATGACTCAGAGCCGGGATGCCCTTTTTGAGTCATACGCTTTTCATAGTTGATTTTGTTTGTATACTGAGGTTGTGTGATGTGGTTGAGACATGCATTGCCGAAGGACTACTACGCACAAACATGCAAAAATCTTAGGAAACTGCCAAAACATTTAGCATTTTTAATAAAAAGCATCACCAACACATAGAAATCAAACAGCATAAACAGGACCTGTTTTTTATGTGATCACATGACATAAAAAGTGCACGGTAAAAATTTTTGCAGCCTTAATTTTTTGTTGTTGAATCAAATAAATTTTTTTAGTCAACTTATATCCATCAAAACTGACTACAAATATTAAGTTAAGCCTTATATAACTAGTTTTAAATCTGATTAACTTATTAAAATAAGTTAAAGTAACTTAAAATCATTTGTTGTCATGATTTTTTGTCATTTCATTTTTTTAAAAATAAAAAGTAGTAAAAATATTACTTTGAGAAAACGTAATACTTTAATTTCTCCCATGTGGGTTCGTTGAATAAGGCAAGTTGAATAAAACAGGGTAAAATTCATTCATTCATTCATTCTCCTTCGGCTTAGTCCCTTTTTTTCAGAAGACACCACAGCGGAACAAACCACCAACTTATCCAGCACATGTTTTACACTGTAAATGCCCTTCCAGCTGTAACCCAGTACTTGAAAACACCTACAGTATACACATTCATTTACACCCACACCCACACACACACACACACACAAACACACACACACTCATACACCAAGGTCAATTTAGTTCATGAATTCTCTATAGCGCATGTGTTTGGACTGTGGAGGAAACCGGAGCACCCAGAGGAAACCCACGCCAACACAGGGAGAACATGCAAACTCCACACAGAAATGCCAACTGGCCCAACATTTTTTAATCTTCTCACAACAGACATTGATGATGTCTCTACAGCAATTGGTGAACAATTGTGCGAGTGACTGCTGAGTTAATAAAGTCCTCAATATCACCTCTGGACACTTGTGCCTTCAAAACACAAAGTTGTAAGCCCAGCATGAGAGATCCAGTGTTCCTGCTGCCATCTGCTGGACTGGTGCATACTGGATGGCATTCTCCACCATACTGTTACACTGTATTACACATGTATTATAAAACCAATGAAGCTATTTTAGACTCCTCTCAGCCAATGGTTAAAAGACCAAGTGTAGACATGAAGATACTCAGATAACTGTGGCCCAGAAGAGAGCCCTTCCAGTGAGGAAAATGAGAAAATACAATCTTTTGTAGGGCAAATGATCAGAATATAACCAATGAAAGCACAATGAGGACCCCTAGAGGCCAAAACACAGTTATAAGTCATGACAATGGCAGTATAGGTACAGTAATGACTGTGAGGCAATACCTGAACCTGACCATAGAGGGCACAAAAGTGCAAATTGCAAAAAGTCTTCCTGATAATAAATATGCTCGTCTTCAGTGCTAGCCCAAGACTTTTAGGGGCCCTTAGCAAAAATTTGTGAGGGACCCCTGTTAGGGCCTCCTAATCTGTTGTTTCAGACAAGTTTCACCGTCTTCAAGTTGATGCAGCCAGTAATGAAATAAAAAAAGAAAATGGTAAACAATATGATAAATACGAGGGCGGCATGGTGGATTAGTGGTTTGAAAAGCAGACGTTAACTATTAATGTTTAAAGCAATGCCATTTAAGGTGAATTTAAAGAGAGTATATTTTATATTCCTCCTGGAGTATGGCATGCGCCAATCGATGGACGGAGTCTGGTGTATAAAGAGGGACGGCAGACTCCAGCTCAGGGTCAGTTTACCTGGGGAGCGAGCGTGCTGTGGGAGAGCCGTGATCAATTCTTTTGAGTAAGTGGAAACTAGTATACAGTTGTAACGTTTGACTTTTTTTCTTTTGATTTGGTTTTGTGTCATATATATTCGTCTTTAAATTTGATTTGTTGATTTGATGCTTTGTATTTTTGTAAATATATTTTTGTAAATTTTTTTGGACTTTTATGGACACTGTATGTATAATGTTATTGTGGTGTTCAGGCCTCCCACGCCTCCTAGCGGGCCCACCCTGTGTTTACAACATCACAGTTCTAAATTGGCCGTAGTGTGTGTGTGTGTGTGTGTGTGTGTGTGTGTGTGTGTGTGTGTGTGTGTGTGTGTGTGTGTGTGTGTGCGTGTGCGTGTGTGTGTGTGCGTGTGTGTGGATGTTTCCCAGTGATGGGCTGCAGCTGAAAGGGCATCCGCTGTGAAAATCATATGCTGGATAAGTTGGCGGTTCATTCCATTTTGGTGACTCCTGATGAATAAAAAACTTTGCAGAAGGAAAATGAATGAAGGAATGAGTATTATAAATACAACAATTTAAACAATTTAGTCTACTAAATATAATAGGGTTAGTGTATATTTTGGTCATTGGATTTTCATTTTAGAAATGGATACTGAAAAACGAAAAATGAGCCTTTATTCTCAGAAAACTATTATTAACTATTATAAACTATTATTAAATTATATTGTTCCATATAACCGGCTTCAATAAGGAAAATATGTCTTAACAAAATCCCGTAATAACAAGAAAATACCTTTTATAACATTATTAGGTGGAAAGAAATAATAGCCTATAGCAGCAATGTGGCAGTATTGCATCACTTTAATGAGTCGGCCTATCTGGCTTTAGAATAGAAAAAAACAAGTCTTTATTCGTTTTTGTTTTATGGTGATTTTATTTTTTGTTATTCAAAATAAAAAATGAAAATCAAATCAATTTTGAATTTTGGTTTTCTGTTTTTCACCATGAAAAAGAAAAATGAGTTGTTTTTTGATTTTCGTTTTCAAATTCAAAAATCAAAATCAAAAAACGAATTGCATTTAAATTTTTGTTTTTTCATTTTAAAACGAAAATCAAAAACGGCTCGTTTTTCGTTTTTCAGTATCCATTTCTAAAATGAAAATCCAATGACCAAAATATACACTGACCGACCTGACCTAATAGCTTACTTTACAGAAATTGAATAGAGTATTAAAATCTAAAATTTAAACACTTTCTATTAACTGTATAAATGAAATGTACAGATTTTTATCGAAGAAGTTCAATTCAATTCAATTTAGCTTTATTTGTATAGCGCTTTTACAATGTAGATTGTGTCAAAGCAGCTTCACATAAATGGTCATAGTAACTGGAACAGTGTGGTTCAGGTTTTAGTGTTTAAGTTCAGTTCAGTTTAGTTTAGCTCAGTTCAGTGTGATTTAAAATCATTACTGAGAGTTCAAACACTGAAGAGCCAATTCATCGATGCGTAGCTCTACCAATCCTGAACTATGCGAGGCAGTGGCGACAGCGGAGAGGGAAAAAAAAACTTCACCTGATGGGAGTGAAGAAAAAAAACCTTGAGAGAACCAGACTCAGTTGGGCACGACCATTTTAATTTCTCCGCTGGCCAAAAGTCTTGTGCAGAGCTTCATTCGCCGTGGTGACGCACTAAAGAAGAGCAGATTTCTTTGATATGTGCATGTTTTACCCAGCCCATTCTGTATACGTACCCTATTCGCTTGTTAACTCGTGACGTATCGAATACTCTTTCCGGGTCCAAGCCGCTACTCATTTGAATTGAGAAAATATTTGTTTATGGCCACTTTTTAGTCATAAAACTAAATATGACTAAATTATATATAAAATCATAGCGCACACATTAGTCTCTAGACTTGCTGCATCACAAATACCAAAATCTATTTAATATTTATATTCAAATATTATTATAAATAATATATAATAATATATAAATATTTAAGAAGGCTGCTGGTTCGAGCCTCAGCTGGTTCAGTTGGCGTTTCTGTGTGGAGTTTGCATGTTCTCCATGCGTTCGCGTGGGTTCCCCAGGTGCTCCAGTTTCCCCCACAGTCCAAACACATGCGGTACAGGTGAATTGGGTAGGCTAAATTGTCCGTAGTGTATGGATGTGTGTGTGTGTGTGTGTTTCCCAGAGATGGGTTGTGGCTGGAAGGGCATCCGCTGCATAAAAACGTGCTGGATAAGTTGGCGGTTCATTCCACTGTGGTGACCCCAGAATTAATAAAGGGACTAAGCCGAAAAGAAAATGAATGAATGAATCTTAAAATAAAGGGTGACCATCAGAAAGCTGAAATGGATTGATATATTGATGTTTGGTTGTTATATGACTGTGCAAATCAACCCTCAAAGTCAACACTTTACAGACAGAAAGTGTCAGTCATTTTTGTTCGAGCTACTGTTTAACTTCTTCAGTTCACTCATTTGCCAAGAAGCGCATGAAAGTAGACACTCCAGGAATAACACAAGTGCACACACACACACAAACGCACCCACCTATTGAAAGCACACCTGCCAGGTGACATACAATGCCTGAGTTCACTGGTGCATTTGGTCACATGATGATGTTTCCACCAATCCCTTTGGCGCTTTCTCCAGGCTCCACCTTCTTCTGAGTCACATGGGTCCAAACTCCTACACAAGCGCAAGGAGTGTCAGATATCACAGAGTTTTCTCCAGAATCAGGTGACACATTTAAAGTCTGTACTGATTATTTATAACTGAAACTTGGATTAAATTAAAGGACAAAACTAAAGAGTCATCGAAGTCAACCACCTTTGAAGACAGGAGGAACTGCATTTACATAACAGGTGGGTTTCTCCTCGTTTACCTGTGATAAATAGGAAAGCGCTTACTAAAGTGTGTGTTTATTGGATAAATGAGACAGAAACTGCTAGCTTTAGTGATTAGGGTTTTGGTGAAGGTGTTTTTAGGAGTGAATTTAGGAGCTGTTTTGTCAGGTGGAGATCCAGTTTGACCACCAGACCTTCATAGGAAGAAGGAAGTCTTTGTGCTCAGAGTGACATGTCATATCTTTACGTCTTTCAAAGTCACAAAGCTGAACAGACACACATGCAAACTCTTCAACAAGACACCAAACTAGACGATGAGGGTTTAAAATGAAGCACAAGCTATTTATAATCTTAAGAAAGTTGCTCGTCTTTAACTTGTACCTAAGTATTAAACACATTTTTGGTTTTATAATCTCCATTAATGGTTTAGCAAACACTATAAATGGTTTAGAATGTAACACTGAAAACCCTAATAAGTTGATTGAAAGAAATTAATAAGTAAACTCGTTGCCTCAATTTAATTAAGTAACGAAGTCTCCCAAAACATGCATATTTAAGTTTATTTAACTTGCCGGTTTGATATAATACTTAAATGGTTCATTTCAGTTTGTGTGTCTGTGTGTGTAATTATATACTATGACAAAATGTTTAAAAGAAAAATAAGTAGCCATTTATTTCCATAATGGTGAATAATTATACATGAAGCCTTGTTTTCTGATTAAAAAAAGACCTTGCTAAAAGGTTGCACATATTAGAATTTTACAGTCAAAACTAAAGTAAAAACGACCTATTTTTTTAAAGGATTACGTAATTGTGATTTTGAGCTTACTACACTTGAAATCATAAGTTTATGCATTTTTATTTTGTACAAGTTAAATTTATTTATATTTTATATGGTGACAGGACCAAAATGCTAAACTTTCAGTGATGTTCAGTCAACTTTACTTGATTGGTTTACAGAGTATACTTGTGTTTATTTTTCCATGTAGTCAATTTTGACATTAGTATGTAAGATGCCTTTAATTACCGTGTACTTACATTTAGTATAATTATATGATGATGATAATTGTCTGTGAGTCAAACATTCTGATGTCCTCACAATACTGAATTTAGTAAATGAGTTTTATATAAACATAAAGATTAATATATTCGAGTAAAGTGTCTTCATTAAAGTAAAACTTTTTTTTTTACAAAAATTAAATGCCAAAATACACTGTAAAAGTGCTCGGTTTCACTCAATTCCTTCATGTTGACTTAACACAAAACGATTAAGTTAACTTGGTTGTTTTCACAAATTTAAGTGGATTGAACATTAAACAATTAAGTTGTCCCCCAAAACAGATCAACAATTGTTTTTTTCAGCTCATTTTAAATAAGTAGTTTGAACAAGCAGCAAATATATATATATATATATATATATATATATATATATATATATATATATATATATATATATATATATATATATATATATATATATATATATATATATATATAT